AAACATATATATATATATATATATATATATATATATATATATATATATATATATATATATATATATATATATATAGCAATCATTGATAAAAATCACATTAGTTTAACTTACTGTGTAAGTAAACTAACGCGGAACATGCCGTAATTTCCATCAGTGATTGCATTTCTGACAGTCTTAATCCAATATACACAAACACACACACACACACACACAGATATATATATATATATATTCAACATAAATATACACAATCATTAATTACACATTATAAATATATAGTATATTAAGTAAATAAATAAATGTATATTCATAATAAACTGATGATGATGATGATGACGAATGAATGAATGAAGCAATTAATCAAATGAATCGTTCTCTCATTCATTATTTACCGAAAGGAAGGTAAAGAAAGAAAAATGGATGGAAAGAAAAAAAAGTAACAGAAAATAAAATTCTTATTATTCTAGTACGTAGTCGGTGAACTAAATAGAACAGTTCACCAGGCTCTGTCAATGCAAATCCTGTAGTATCATTCAATTTAATTATTGCAGATATGCACCACAACAACCAACGACAACAACAGCTATGACAAACAATAACGACAAATAAGAGTTAACATTATTTTGAATATCTCAGTTGAAGTTGAAGCACTACATCTCGGACCTGTCTCTCTCTCTCTCTCTCTCTCTCTCTCTCTCTCTCTCTCTCTCTTTCACAATATGCACTTAACAATGTTATATGTTTTTTCATCAGACATTACATTGTAACCACATTGTAGTATAACAATGACACTACATAACGTAATACAATATACAACACCACACCAATCCACCGGACATTTACAACCTCCATTTACCATCAAATCTAAACCATTTTACCCGAATTTACATTTTACAAACATTTTTTACATAATTTCATTTTTAAATATATCCGGAGTCAGAAAATTGTCAATTCGGTATTGAATGAATCCCTTAATTCTCATGCATTTTCACCAGTTTTAGATAGTGAATATATACTTATTATAAATTAGCATACATAAAGTTAACCATCACTCATATACATCCACACACACACACACACACACACACACACACACACACACACACACACACACACACACACACACACACACACACACACACATATGTATATATGAATGTATGTATGTATTTATTTATATATATATATACATTCACTTATATACGTTTATGTAACATACACACTATACATATTGTAGTACGTATGTACGTATATATGTGTGTGTACGTACGCATATGTAATAAGGTTAAAAATAATGTTCAACAAATTTCAAGAAATTTTTTTTAGCATTCCATAATTTCTAATCTTTCGATATCATCGATGTTGTTCCGTTGTGATGAATCGGTTGGCGGGAACCTTGCTGCTGGCGGACGACGACGTGCTGGATGCAGCTTGCGATGAGGCAGCTTTGGGAGAATGAAAGAAAGAATAAATTAACATAATTAATAATCAACATAATTAATAATTAACATAATTAATAATTAATTAATCCAATACAACATACAAAACTTCTCACACGTATAGAATACATATAGAAGTAGAGAAAGAAGAGACAAGGATGTATATATAAAAGGGAGAGGGAGAGAGAAAAAAGAAAGAAAGTCCTCTAGCAAGAAAAGAATGATCAGGAAACATACTTAGGCAGACAGACAGAGACAAACAAACTGATAGAAACAAAGAAAAGACATTATGTACGTAAATATTCACCTTTGTTAATTTGAATCTTATTAGAAGAGTGGTGGTGATGATGCGAGATTGACAACAAATTTGAAGATAACGACAAAGAGGAGGATTGGCTGTCGGTTGTCGCTGCTGCTGCTGCAGCAGCTGATATTTTAAGACTTTCTTCCTCTATTCTCATCGTCCTCTTGCGACGTTTGCACCAAAGTTCGTGACAGTCTTGATCGCGAGGAAAACTAAAAATCGAAATGATGAGGATGACAATGATGATGCTTGCTGGTGGTGACTACAACGATGGTTGTAATGATTAATACGAGCTAAATAAAAAATGATGAGGTAATAAATTTACAATCCTTACAAATTTACAATCCTTACAAATTTACAATCCTTACAAATTTACAATTCTTACAAATTAACAATCTTAACGTATTTACAATCTTTACAATCTCTATCTAAAAACGTTATAAACACAACTTACTCAGGTGGTTGGACTTTTTCAGGGTAGATGTGTTTGAGCCAGGCGGAGTTGAGAGCAGCTTCAGCTGAAATGCGCTTGCTTGGATCCAGGATTAGCATGCGATCCAACAAATCTAATGCTGGCCTGGGCATGCTGGCATGGCATGCATTAGTATTAGTTCATTGAATTCAATTGTAAATCTCACAGAAACTCTCAAATATCATCAAGTTTTTCATCAATTTACATACTGAAAGTGATCATGAGAAAATTTTTGAGTTTTATAATCTAATCTAAAAATCACATAAACCAATAAAAGTGAATGAAATATAGCCAAGCCAAGACAATAAACTGCATAGTAATCCATTAGCCCAGTCACTTTATATTCACAAAGCAAATCAAAAAACAGTGCAAACCAACCATAGAAGAAAGATACTAACAATGAAAATTCCTCTCTCACTCTCCTCTGACACACCTTCCTTAACTTAAACTGGTTGAACAGGGGTAACTTGATGACGTCAGGCCAACAAGATGGCGCCGGGGGGCCACACAGTCGACAAATGAGCTCCAGCTGCACTAACTCCTGATTGCCCTGAAAGAGAGGGCGCTTTACGAATAGTTCCCCTAGAATGCACCTACAAGTGAATGAGGAAAATGATGATGATGATGGATTGCCTTTGATGAAGATGATGTAATGTAAAGAATGATGATGATGATGAATATAATCTAATCATCATCACCAGCACCCTCCCACCATAATCATCATCATCACCACCACCAACATCATTACTAACCCACAACTCCAGACGTCAATTGCTGGGCCGTATCTCTCCTCTCCCAATAAGAGTTCGGGCGATCGGTACCATAACGTTATTACCTGGAAAATATTGTAATAATTAATAATAATAAATAATAATAACTAATAATTAATATCAATTACATAATATAATAATAATGATAATAATTACAATAATGAAAATACGATAATAATGGTTATAATTATCGTTACACACCCTTATCATTTTTCCATGTATACGACAATACAATCTCACCATCCATTCAAGTTTTATCACCACCATAAAAACCAACTCCACCATCAATCACTATCATCATTAATAAGGTGATTGGTCGAAGTCATCAAATCATCAAATTCTATCGGTATATACAACATACACGTGAAACACAACTCAGTACAATACAACACAACTTAATACAATACAACACAACACAATACACTACCCTACAAAACAATACAATATAATGCAATACAAACTGAATAAATACACAATACAATACAAAACCATACCTTGTTTGTGTAAGGACGCTCCTCGTCTGCTGAATACAACCTAGCCAGACCAAAATCTGCCAGTTTTATCTGACCTCTGGTTTGGTAGAAATGAAACAAATAACAGTTGTAATAATAATTATTATTATAATCATTTATTGTTATAATAATTATTATTACTGCTACAATAATAATTGTAAAAATACTGACAAAGTTAAACTATTGACATTCAATTTCTTAACATTATTTAACTAAATGTTTTATAAATTTCACGCAATTAATCACCAAGTCATTTAAGATTCTAGAAACTTCTATCATTGATGATAATAACAATAATAATAATAACAACAATAATAATAATAATAACAACAATAATAACAATAATTTATTCATTCATTCATTCCAATTCATTTTTTTCACATTTTTCAGAGACACCAACAACAAAAAATTCACACAGTGCATTCCTACATACAAACTCACACATGAAACAAATAATAATAATAATAATAATAGTAATAATAATGATAATAATAATAATAATAACCAGGCACAGTGCTAATACTGACTTGTTATTTAGCAGTATGTTGGAGCACTTGATATCTCTGTGTAAGAACTTCTTGCTGTGACAATAGTTCAGGCCTGTTGATGTCATCATCGTCGTTAATGTAATTAATGATAATTTATTATGAATTATGATAATTTATTATGAATTAATAATAATTTATTACGAATTATGATAATTTATTATGAAATAAAATAATTAAACGTAATATTTATGACAACGACAAAAACCGCTATTGAAAACAGCTCATCATAGCTTTTTGCAACGTAGTAACTATGATCACCTCATCATTAACTAACACCCCAAGGGAGGATAATACACCATCAGAATCATCACCATCAGAATCATCATTATGGTATTATCACCGAACCAACCTTCTAGTAGTTGTTTCATGAAGGATGCAATGTGCATCTCAGAGAACGTGACCATGCCAGACTCCAACAAGCCCATCAGGTCGTGATCCATGTACTCAAAGACCAAGTAAAATGCTCCTAAAAACGATGAATATGATCACATGATATATGTAGATGAAGATACGATCATTTTATATATGTAGATGAAGATACGATCATTTTATATATGTAGATGAAGATAAAACCATGATATATAGATAAAGATACAATCATGATATATGATCATGATATATTGATGAAGATACTAGCACACCAATAAAACTGACCATTATCTTTTCTAAACTCAAGAGCATCCTGTTTGTCGGTGACAATTTCCTTCAGGCAGACGACATTCGGATGAACCAACTGCCTTAGTATCTTAATCTCCCGGATGGCGGTGATCGGGAATCCTTCCTTCTCATTCTCCAGGCGTACTTTTTTCAGAGCCACCATCTCACCTGGTAAAAGAAAAATGGCTATTTGAGGAATTGGGAAGATTTCTTTTTTCTTTTTAAAATTCTCTCCCTTGTATTTCTCAGCGATGTCGACAATAAAAACATAATGCATATAAATGCACATGAATAAGTGCATCACACGTGTTAGAGGAATCTCCATGCATTCAAATCCAGTCACTGCAACAGCACTGCCAGGCATCTGAACCATTACTCCACCTCGCCACAAAATAATAATATTATAATTAATACACACCAGTTTGCTTGTCCTTGGCCTTGTAGACCTGTCCGTATGTGCCCTCACCAATCTGACTAATGATCTCGAAGACCTCGACGAATCTCTCGCCCCAATCACAATTGGCCTGTAGGTTCATCTTGTTCTCTGCCATCCTTTGTCTGTTGTTGTGTTCATGTTTGGTTGCTAGTGTTGTTATACTGTTGTTGTGTTTTTGTTGGTTGTGGTGTTATGTTGCTGATGTTTTTGACTGCTATATTGTTGATGTAACATTGCTAGTGCAATGTCATTGAGTTCACGTTGTTAGCTTTTAATATATATATTGTTTATGGTTAATTAATGATGTTGCTATCATTAAACAAGGATAGATGTTAAATTATGTGTATGTATGTATGTATGTGCGTGCATGTGTGCGTGTGTGCGCGTGTATGTGTATATGTGTGTGGGAGTTGTTGTGAAATTATTGATATGCTAAAAGGACATTGATGAAAATGCAGTAATATGTAGTTATGAAACATTTGTATTAACATACTTTTTGTTATTAATTACAGAGCCCAATACAGTTTCAACAGGTTCGTGCTAATAAAATATTATTCATTCATAAAACGTAAAAAAACACTGAGGAAGAAAATGTTACAAATATGTTGAATAGCTATGAAGAAACCCTCAAATTTAAGACCCTTAACCCCTGACTGACCTTTTAAGCAATCGACCTGGTGGCATAAGTTTGTTATTATCCTTCATGGAGGAACTTTTCGACAGACACATCCTTCCAGATGACGAAGCTGCAGATGATGATGATGATGACACTGCATACAACGACGTGGATGATGAAGTGGAAGATGAGGACGACGAAGATGCAGATGATGTTGTACTGGATGGAGGCTGAAGACTGACAGGTGGTGGAGGTGGCTGTGGAAGCAATTTGTTGGATCGGTCGTGGGGTCTGGAGTTGCCAAAACTGTTAATTAATGATAGTGGAAAAGTATCATCATATGATATGTTCAATACATAACAGCTATCAATATTATACAAGATACATATTCATTAGCTAAGTAATCTTAACAGAAATTAGGCAATAATTAAACAGGAATGAATCAAATTAGTAAGTTTTGAATGCTATCAACTAAGGATGTAATTGTTACACAATTTTGAAAAGAAATACCTGAAAAATATAGTATAGCTTACTTATGACCCAATATATAAAACCAAATGTAATTAAATAATCGAAAATAAATAAATCTATTTACATAAAACAAATTCATACACAAATAAAAAACCAAAGAATACTAATTAAAAGAAAAGAAAATGAAGTAAGAGTATAATAGATGGGCAAAAATTACTTGGGTGCATCTTTCACAAGATTTAAATTAAAGGAGAAAGCATTCTTGAAATTCACATAAGCACCGTCAGCTGCAGTATTATTACTATCATTGTTATTACTATAATTATTACTATTATTAATACCACCACCATTATTGCCGGTAGTATTATAACTGTTGTTGCTATTACTGCCATTGCTGTTGTTACTATGGTTACCAAGGTGCTCGACGCCAGTGTTAAGGTTGTCATCGTTGTTGTTGTCGCTGTTGTCATTGCTGGCGTCACTGTCGATGGCAGGAAGTGGAAGTTGTTTGGTCACCAGGGGTGTAGTTGCTTTGGAAGAGCTGACGATCGAATGGTCTGATGATATCTGGATGAACGTCGGTAGCATCGTCTCTTCTGATAGCGTCGTTGCAGTTTTTGTGGCTGTTGTTGTTGATGACGCAGTTGAAGTTGTTGCAGGTGGAAGGGGTGGAAGCGGAGGTCTCCTGCTGCTGGTTGGGAGAGGGATGAGCGAGCCCTGAGTGAAAAATTTTGGACTAGGGTTAATAAAAATAACATTTCATATCATACCAGGGTCATTAAAACAAGCATTTGACAGTTTCAATATATATAAATACATCTGAGAATCATTGAAAAATGAACTAGTAATAATGATATTACACTTCACCTTTCCTCCAATACAATGCTATCAGGTAGGGAATTTTGAATAATGGAAGTTTAAATTAAGTTTTAGTAATAGGAAAAAAAAAAAAATTTGATAGATAAATTGGACCAGTAGCTAGGATTAAATTGACAAAACAACATAGCATTGAACATGTTCAAAAGCCAAAGAAAATAATAAAGACAAATGGCAATGTGTTTATATACTTGATGATATCCACTAAAAATGCATTTAGTAGTGTGTGCAAATTTGTATTAATTGTTTTTAGCAACATATAACCCAATCTCAGGCAGAAGGAATATAATAAAATTTCGTACAAAAATAGCTAAAAATAACATTAAGTAACACATGATTTTATAAAATATAAAAACCGACTAACCTCTGTGGTCTGAGCAGGCATCCTCACTTTACTGGACAGGGTTGATGACATTATTGTGGATGATGACGACAGCGATGAAGAAGATGACTGCGTTGTTGACGACACTTGCTGAGTAACTTTGGATGATTTCTTCATATTTTCAGAGGCTGAATTCTCAACTGGAGGATCAACAATGATTGTTGATCTTGACGATGAGGAGGAAGAAGAAGGAGGCATGGCTATAGACGAGAGAGCAACGTTATTAATGCAATTTACATTATTACTGGCAGCAACCACACTGGCTCCAGTGGCAGCAGCTTCATAGTTCTCATGCTTTCTCTTCTGTGGCGTGCTACTTCCACTATTTGCATTGCTGTTGTTATTGTTGAGACGAGTGGACAACTTACGTTTCTCCAATTCAGCAGCCAGACTAGATGCATATCGCACTTTCTCTAAGGTGAGCTTTCCATCAGATTTATTATGCTTAGAGGAGTGAGACATGGATGATGAGGTGTTTCTAGGGGACGATCTCCTGCTACGGTCTCTGCTACCGTGTCTGCTACCGCTGCCCTTGTGGTGATTGTTTGGCTGCTGCTTGTAGCTGTTTTTGTAGAAGTCATCATCTTTTGCATCTTTCTGACGTTTTTTATTTTTATGTCTAGAGTCATGATAATCATCATTATCATCCTCAAAATCATCATCATCGTCATCTGGGGTCCAAGGAGAGTCGGTGATTATTGTAGGGTTAGATTCTGACTTTCCTATTGGGCTCCTGTTAGGGAAAAAAATTTAGAACATAAAAATTTGAAAAAGAACGAAGTGATGAATAAAAAATACAAATGAAAAGACAACTACCAACCTATTTAATTTATCTATATCTGTAGGCGAGTAAGGCTTTGAGTTTGAATCATTGAGAGATGGTTTGTCCTCATTATCTGTTAGATCATCATCGTCTTTGTAATCATTACACTTGTTATTTTTATAATTATTATTACCGCTGTTAGTATCCTTTACCATCTGCCTTGTTTTATTTTCATTGCCTAATCTTGATTTATCCAGTGAAGTTTTTTCATATACTAATGAAGCAAGTGCATTGTGTTTCAACAGTGATTTCTTTGATGAAGTCGTTGTATCTCTCGGAAGAGTTTTATGAGGAGAAACATATTTTTTAATCTTTTTACTGGGAGCCTCACCTGAAGACAAGTAGGACGATGATGAATTGTCACTGATACTTGATGCATCTGAATCGACTAATTTTTTATTTTTCAATTTTTTGCTTGGTTTTTTCAATTTTTTAGATGTTTCTATAGAACTCGATCTCCTGTCATTACATTTTGAATGTTTGTCAACTGAATTGTGCCTGGATGAATGGTGCTTGACTTTTTTGGTATACTTTGAAGATTTTTCATCTTTCTTTGATTTATTAGAAGCCTTGTGACGACTGGAGGAACTTTTATAATCATCATCTTCTTCATCATCACTTAGGGGAGATCGCCTGGATGATTTTTTGGATTTGTGTTTGGTGGATGATGACTTGGAGCTTTTGTGCTTTCTCTTCCTGCTCCTTTCAACGCTGCTGTCGTCCTTAGGATCGTCATCTTTGTTGTCATCTTCATCGTCGTCGTCGTCATCATCATCATTAAGTGGGTCCTTCCTCTTTGATCTGGAATATCTGTAGGAATCATTTTTGCTATCTCGTGAGTGGGACTTGTATCTATCTGAAGGACTCAAATGTCTGTGGGAGCCAGAGGAACGTGAGTAATGATGCCGATGTGACCAAGATGAGTCGGATGACGATGGGGGTGCAGGCAAATAATAGTAGTTACGTTTACTACCCTCGTAGTATGGATTCGTTGGCACGTTGTATCGGTCGGAATAACCTCCAGTGGATGATGACGGTGTAGCGTAGTGGTAATCTGAATAGTGACTGTTATATTTCGGCATATTAATTTCAATATGCTCCTAAGTCCTAATTTGTTTGACGGATCTCCTCTAATTTTTACGACAACAATTTCTTGATGACAGCCAGGATTTCGTGATCGGTTTCTGTTCCCACTAGAATTGCGGCATTTTGAAAAAGTGATTATATCAAAATTTATTATTTAAGTTTTCAAAATGAAACGAGCGAATAAATTAGTTTAATAGATTATGTAATAATAAATTATTTTCACTATTTCTCCCAGCTAGGAGAAATTTTCTGAGCGATTTATAAACAACTAAAACGGAAGCAATAATCTTTGTTGAAATGTCAAAAAACTATAAATATAACATAATTTTTTAAGGAGTAAGGTTGCTCTTTAAATGAGGTTTTAAATCCTTTAATAATTATTCGGACTTAATTTTACTGATTTTAAATTGTTGATGTGTTTTTACAAAATAGCATTTCAACAATTGAAAATTGTATAGTTTGTTTTATGTGACTTCAAATCCATTGAATGACTGAACTATATTCAAATCTTGCTTAGAGAAACTGACTGACCTGGAAACATTATACATCAAAAATTATCCAATAATATTGAAAGATGATAAAAAATTTTAGATCGAGAACTAGTGGTCTAAACTCGGTTCAATTGCTAATTTATCTCCATCTATCATACTTACGTAGTTTCGCACGTAGGTATTTAGTAAAATAAATATAGGATTCTTTCAATTTAAAAATTAATTATAATTTGTAATTGGTAATTCTTAATAATGAGAGTACAACAATGCTGTTTAATTGAATTAATTTTAATAATATTCATTAAATAGCCACTGGTCAAAACGATCCTGTCTTTCTGACGATTATTTTAAAAAAGTTCAACAGTTAGTTAGCTCGCAACTGGAATGCGATTAATGACAAATTTTTAATGTGTCTATTTTCTAGTATACCATCAAAATTTAAATAAAGAATTTTTCTCCATCAAATCCCAATAGCGTTGTTCATAATCTATCTTCAATTATCGCTTGGTCTGGCTATGTGTCTTGAACTTTATTCAATTTGTTTGAATTAATTTGTTTTAACATACATCTATAGATATATCCATGTATACATCTAACCGCTCTATTACTATATTCTTTCTATTATCTTACCTGATTCTAAAACTTTTGATGTTTCTCGTAATGATTGTATTGAACAAATGTATATTATAAGCAGTGAGGGCACGAAATTATTCGATGCAATTCACCAATGTTAAATAGCAAACCTGTTGCAATATGAATCCCACATATTACTGCATGACCGCTTTTTTAAACATTTTTTATACATACGCAAACCTTTAATCGAATATAATGAAAAACATGTAAAATACATATTTAAATGGTTAAAATGAAGTGAAAACCGCCATAGTAATGAAAAATTTTGGAATAAAAATTCACACCAAGGTTACAAGAGAAGCAAGGTAAGATGATTCACCAAATTTTCCAGTGAAGATGAAAATGTTCATTTTATAAATAGTTTGTCAAATTTTGCTAGCTCTCCATACTTTTGCGAGTGTAAACAAAGAATTAACTTCATTTTCAATGTTTTCCATTAAATATTTCACCTAAATTTACCTTGAAAATATGT